TGATTAAACTGTCAAACACAGAGCGGTCACCGATGACCACAACCTATTGTTCTTTAATTGTGTCTATAATTACGGTACTCAACGAGTTAATGCTTAAACCTAATCCAGTGAGAAGAGACCTTCGGTCGGCATGGGCCACTTATAGACTTAATGATGAAACTGATGATGATTTTACTTATTTGACTTACTTATTAGAAATTAAACCTTAAAACGCTTGCTAAGCAACCAGTTTTCAGAAGAAATACTTTCTCAAAGAGCTACGCTTAAGTTTAAATCGAATTAACTTAAAGACTATTTGTATATCAGGCCTCTGCCTCGAATCTTGATTTTACACATTAAATCTTGCATCTGCCCGCAAGATTCAAGGTGAAGTGAGACATTAGTTTTATCATATCCGCCAAAAGACGTCCACTGCTAAATGTAGGCCTTCTACCCAATGACAGTCGCTCACAATATTAATTTGCATTTTCGTAGGCACCTAGTAAATGAAAGAGATTGTAAAGCATACTCTGTAAAACTCTATAGTTACAGCATACTTGCTGAATTAACAGTTAATTAATTTACTCATAATACAAAGTGTAACAGTCACGAGTAGCGAGCAGTGTTTAGAGTTTAGTTTGTAAACAAAACAACCAAATAAAAAATAAGTCAACATTGACATTTTTCAATTAACTGTCATCTGTCATTTGTCATATTGTGTACTTTTGCGTAAAGATGGCATTATACTTGACATTGCGTATTTGTTGTGTACGGCCAAAACAGACCATGTGTGGAGGGTTTATTCGTCTTAATTTGCTATATACGTATATTTGCACGCTTTTACATTTATAGATACTATTTGGACGCCATTTGTACGTAGTTCACAAATATTTGTACAAATGAAGCGAATGGCAAGTGTAATACCGCCTTTACGTACCTTCTGCACATTTTCAAAGTGAAATAACTTTTGAACCCGAAGTTCTAAAAATATGTAATTTTTTTCTACACTTCATAATAAAAATATCTATCGTTCAGACCATTCACTTGGTTAAAACAATGACAAATACAAAATTTTATAGCGGTACCAAACCTCCATACAAACCTGCCATTCTCCTTTACTTACAACTGCGAAAATATTTAGTTTTAATTCCGCTGAAGGAATTAATTTGAAAGACAGGGAGTGGTTCAAGTGGTTTATTGCCTGTTGTGTGTGTTTTGTGTTGCACCTCTGTTGCATGAGCATTTATCTGCAGGCAGGAGGGTGCTGCATACTGCATTCTGCAAATTCATTCCTTCAGCGGAATGAAAACTTAATATTTCCCTAGTTGTTAGTGAATCATAGATTTCCGCAAAGTGACACCTGATTCTATTCTATATTATAATTTATTTAAGTCAATAAAGTAAGAAATATAAGTTAGTTTTTGATAATCACTGAAAAGCTAGTACCTATATAATAATCTAAAATGCTTTTTAATTAATATTTTCAGAGAGCAGCACACGTTATCACCAACAGAAAAGAACGAAATATTTAACTTATGTCATCTGACATTGCGATTACTTCTACATATCATTCAGAAGAGTACAAATGATAGTTTAAGTAAATTGATCCTAATGTTTAACGACATAAGGTTGAATATTCATAATCTTATGTATGATGATGATGTTCCCATGGACACGAAGTCTGTGGGTGGGATATTGTACCTGACCATGCATGTTACGGAGAAAGGAAGTGACAGTTGGATACAAGTGAGTATTGATTTAAATCTGAATATCAAGTTATGATTAGTTTGAAATCTTAGATAGTAGTGTTAAATCCATTTATCATAGTATATTAAGTAAAGTAGGTAGAAGATATACACTAATTTAAAATTCTAAAGCCGATTTGCGCCTTCAGCCACCACATCCTTCATCATACTAAAGATCTAGTGGGTTTTTGGACATTGCCCACAATAGGATTTTCCGTACCGTGCATTTAAAATCATACAAATTCACATACATATGGTAGCCAAGCCATACCGCAACCACTGCACCAACCGTACAGTCGACTTATAATTTCTATTTAAAAAAAACATATGACTGTGTTGTGAATCTTCAAATGTTTGCTTATTATTTTCCAGGTACTAAACCCAACCAGTGAATTGAGCAAGTTGATGGAGTTAGAAGCAGCTCGGCTGAGTTTGTACTCTGCCGTGCCCACCGTGGTACTGTCAGACCAGCTCCTCACACGGAGAGTGGATGATGGAGTCGCTATACTTGTACTTACTGACCGGATACTCGAGATTGGAGAGAGGTTAGTTTGTAATTGAATTTTAATAGGTACTTAATTCACCCACTCCATTACAGACCTTATTTCCGATGTTTACTGACTACTTTTGAATGAACAAGTTTGGTTATTAAACATGAACAAGTGAATGATTTTAAGGTAATATCCACGTGTTACAGGGAGATCTAGATCTAGCCTGGATTACCCATAAACGATTTTCGACTGTATTACAAAACAATAAAATGTTATAATGTAACTTGTTTACATATGTAACCAAAAAATCAAACAAATTAAACAAAATTATTTAATTATGATTATTAGCAAGTGGTGAGAAAATTTGTATTTCAAAAAACGTGTGATTCATGTTACAGTTCTTCAGAGTCAGCCGTTATCCTAGGCGCCACCCGTACTTTGGTGCAAATCAGCAAGCTACTGTTGCAGTTACCCAACAGTCGTAAAAGTGGCGATAAACATGACACTGGCGATAAACATGACACTGGCGACGACCACGACACTGGCGACAACCACGACACTGGCGATAATAACGACACTGGCGACAACCACGACACTTGCGACAAACACGACAATGACAACAAACGCGATAATGACGACAAACGCGATGATGTCGACAGTGGCGATGATAGTATAGTGGGACTTTCCCTAGTAGAGTCTTTGCTTCGGTTCGCCTGGGGTCACCTGGAGCACTACATGGACAGTGTCAGACATCTCACCGCGCAGATGTTAGGCGTCGTCGTCAAGTACTGCGCCTATACGAATGCGAAAGGTAAGATTATTTATGGTTATTTTTAGGTGGAAATTGTTGTCTATGGTTAGATCGTAATTATAGAGCGCTTATTACAATTTCTTGTATTTCTTTACCTTCGACAACTAGAACACCCTCTATTTCCTTTTAATCTGTCATCATCATCAACCACTCATGACAATCCTCTGCTAGACAATGGGCCTCCTTTACGAAATAGTGGTCTTTCCATAAGCAAGTCGGTCACAAATCCCAGTTTAAAATAATTTAGGTTTATAAGAGATCATTGTAGCCTGGTATCTTTGAAACATGTAGTATGTATGTTTTTTTTTACATTCTGTTTTATTGTGGTTTATTATATGTATATTTATTTATAATTTGTACGTTGCTACATTAAGTCCTACATCTAAGCACTTACATAGTAATACATTTTAAATGCACAACATTTTAAGGTGTCACAACATGCACAGTAGCATAACGATGACACTTTTATCAGATTTTGTGACAACTGAAAAATTAACTATTAAATAGTATTCAATTAAAGAAATATGTTGCTTTTGAAAACAACGATTTATTTTGTTAATGTCTTGTCAAAAGACCCTTTTAATTTTAATTAGTGTATTACTAATGTAAAGAACATTAACTGGAAACAAAGAAACGACCTTCGAAGTTTATTGGTCCACATATTCTAATCGTTTTTCTCACAAAATATATCTCAGTTAAAGATTACTTTTAGCCAATTCCAAATCACACATCATTATATCTGACTAGTATATCTGTGATTCTAATAATCCTAACCTCTGAACAAGTCGCGGAGAACCTAAGGGGTAACCGGGGCTCCGGCTCGACGTGCAGGAGTAGGAACGGGGTGGTTTTTAGTCAGTAAGAGTCTGACACTCCCTCCCGCCTCACCCAGGCGGGAAAAGTCATTCGATGATTTTCTCCCCTTAAAAAAAACCTCTGAACAAACCACAGATTAAATGATTGACAATTTATAATCAACCGCGCGAAGCGCTCCAAATTCAAATTTAAATAAACCTATTTAGTTAACATGTATGTATATACAATATGTGTTTGACCGCAAATCAGGCGACAGTTCAGCGCTGGACAAGTTGTCGAGTGCGCTGGCGTCGTTGGACCGGTCCCGCAAGAGTTACTACGTGTGCGCGGGGTGCGCGGCCGCCGAGCTGCGCGCGCGCCCGCTGCTGGCGCTGCTGCGGCCCGCGCGACTGGTTCGCGCCCTGCGGGACTCGGGGCTCAGGAACACGGTGGGATTTGTTTACGTCGTAAAGGATGCTTTCAATGCCAAGTTAGCACCGGGGTTGCGAATAATAATTACCGTCATGAGCTACCGCGACCCTGACTCTTAGCAACAGTTAAAACGGAGTAGTTTATAGTCACTGCCTCACACCTTATCCAAGGCGGAAGGAGCCGTTACATGATTCTCCTTCCCCAAATTGATCGATTAATTGAGTGATCCGTTAATGTGATCTAAAATAAACAACGCGCTACAAGTGTGTCATCTAACTGATTTTTATGCTGAAAAAAATACAAATGGATCTCATTACGATATTCACAGGCGAGCACAGCTCTAGAAGCGATATTAGAAAAGTTATGCTCGGAGTGTAACACTGCACAAATAAGCACAGAGTTAGTACAGCCGTGCCTGCTCGCTGCACGGACCAGTGAAGACGCCGGCGAGCTCGCCGTGTTGGAGAAACTACTCGTGAAGGCATGCACCAAGCGGGAACAGTTGCTGCAGGACTTGTAAGTATAACATTATTTAAACGGCGTAAATGTTGTATTAATGTACTTATTTTTTTTTAATATTTGACATGATAGACAAATATTTGTAAGACTTCATTTAAATAACTGCATTGATATTTTATATTTATTGTGTTACAGGCTATCGTACATCAAGTCAGCTAGTACAGAGGCATCTGCGCAGGAACTAAAGTGTGTACTCATGTTGGTGCGAGTGGCGCGCAGGCTGGGGGCCGCGGGCACCGAGCCCTGCCTGGCAAGGACCGACGAGCCCCGCGCGGCGGGCACCGAGCTCCTCGCGGCGGGCACCGAGCCCCGCGAGGCGGGCACCGAGCCCCGCGAGGCGGGCACCGAGCCCCGCACGTGGCGAGGCCTCATCAGCTACGATCTACTCAAGCGAGCCGCTGTAGACGCCGTGGATGAGGTCGCTACCTAAACTACATCAATGGGGACTATCTTTTTCTTGCTCACCAGCTGGAGCTAATGTGAACCTTTTGTCTTTTCGTTCAATACGGCATTAGCTAGTGTCAGTGATTGGACAAGAAAACTCTCGTTACGTTTGCGCCATCTAGTAAACAAAAAATGGCATTAGCTCCCATTGTACACAAAAATTATTATGTTATTTTTGTAAAGACATACTCCAAAACTTTAACACTAGTAAACTCGGTATATTTCCAGACTCGTATCCTGTCCCTGTCGGTAGTGTCCCAGTCCCCGCGCAGTACAGAGCCCCTGCTGCAGGGCGAACTGCGCCACGTGCTGTACTTCCTGCGGTACAACTGTAACGTACAACAACCCAACTTCAGGCAACTCATACTCTCCAATATGCACAAGGTAACATTATTATAGTATTAACTGTTCATTACAACTTGAAGCAGAATTGTCTCATTAAAAACTCGAATCAGATACCTCATAACGAAGGTAAGCTTTTTTCATAGTATAAGGCGAATGGTAAGCAATCGGCGTCGTCCAATACACCCATAATACCAAGAGAGTTATAAATGTGTTGTGTTCTCGAAGGGGACTACTGTTTCTTTCTCACTAGATGGCTCTTTCATATAAACAGTTTTCGATTAAATAGCTTTTACATATTTCGAAACTGGTGGGAAAGCCATGCTTCGGCACGAATGGGTCGGTTCGACTGGAGTGATACCACGGCCAAGGAGAAAACCATACTGAAATAACGCTTGCGTTGTGTTTCGTGGTCGTTGCGTGAGTGAGGTTACCGGAGGCCCAATGACCACCCTCCCCGGTCTCCCCAATCTCTGAATCCCGCACAATTCTCAAATCCCCAATTTCCTAAAAACCGGTAACGCACTTGTTACGCCTCTGGTATTTCGGGTGTCCATGGGCGACGCCGATAGCTTACCATCAGGTGATCCGTCCGCCCGTTTACCGACTTATCCCATAAAAATACTATATTTTTATTACAGTTCATAAAACGTCTAGAAGAGAGCTACAAGGTACTAAGGCGCCAGATGCACGTGGAAGGTATGGCAGTGGAGGTGGGGAACTACTTACAGTTCGCGGAGGACCTGCGACGGCAATGTTTCGCCAGTCTTGTACCGGGTGCCAACTACACTCGGCGCTTCGTGGCGCTACAAATACTGGCGTGGTGTGAGCAGATCACCTTGGAAGGATATCACAAGTAAATATCTTAATTAATGTACCATTATTTCAGCAGATTTCGGTATTACTATCAAATTTTCAATTGTCCTGTTAGTTCAATCTTAACTGTTTTATCGTCTCTGCCCCCAAATCCTCAGAAGTCTAGTGTTTGGGTCATCAAAAATTTATAAACAAGATTAACGTTTGTTTTCCAGGAGCTGGGAGGCAGAGTACGTAGAGAAACTCCTGCAACACCTGGAGGACAGCTATGAGAACAACAAGGGATTCGCTCTGGAAGTATTGGCCAGCTGTCCAATTGAACTACTCAAGGTAATCTCATACAACTGTTTTTTTTAGGGGGGATAATATTCCAATGGCTGCTGCCGCCTTAGGATAGGCAAGAGGGACTGTCAGACTCTTACTGACTAAAAACCAACCCGTTCCTACTCCTGCCCTTCGAACCGGAGCTCTGGTAACCTGTTAGGCCTTCCGCGGTTCCGCATCGGGCATCAGCTCTACTGGATATAACTAGAATATAATTATAGTCCCCCGCGAAAACTATGACCAGATTTTTCGTGATGGGGATAAGTTCTCTCATTGAGTGTTTTGCTACTATTGTTTGGTTGGTTATTGGTTATTGTCACCATTTAGTTTCAATCATGTCTAGCAAGCAAGAAAGAATTTGTCTTGAAAGTTAAATGAGCAAATTACCTCCTCCACGAAAATTTTTAATGCCGGACCAGTGACTTCGAACTCAGATAACATACTATTGTTTAAAAGATTTTTATAAGCAAGAAAAACGAGTAGAATATTGAAACATTTATTTTAAAAACCTTTACAGTTGTATCTCGTCAGTGCGCGGCGCGAATTTCTTCCAATCAAGTTGGTTGTTACAATACATTACAAGAACAGACTGTAACAATACAGCCCCAGTGTACACAACTAACAAGACATCATTAATTTCTTGTATACTCACACTGTAAATACACAGCCCACCGTACAATATCAACAAGAAATCACAAAAGATCCCTAAGAAATTCACAAAATATAACAAGAATATATTAACTCGACATATTTCTATCGCTTCTTTAAACGTTCTAGTTTGTAATATCAAGCTTCCAGTCTCTATACCCAGTAGCATAATGGCGGCCACAGTTTCAGCGTCCACCAGGTTCAAAGTCAATATATATTTGATATAGTATAATATGCCGCATGACATTACTGCTATTAGCGTCCATGATTTGAGCAGTAGAGGTTCTTCGTTGGTTAGTGTCGGGCTGGATAAGACAATATGTACGTAGCCGAGTAGGACGGAATGAAAGGTGCCCCATACTGTGGCCAGAACTAATGTCAAGTAGAAGGCAACGAGCCACACTTGAAATACTTCGTCAGTAATGATGTACATGAGGAGTATGCATAGCGCAGCTCCACAGCGACTCAGTGATTGCTCGGCGTGCAGGTAATGCCTCCGTCTCCAGTTCGAGTTCGTGCCGTACACTACTAGACCAGTCACTGCACACACTATAGACACGGCCGCCGAAAAATATTGTATTACTTCCGAGTTTTCGCCGCCCGCCATACTGAATTGCTTCTAGATTTTTCTTTTTAGTTTAAAAACTATTTAATCCATGTTTTAACTATGCCCTTTAGTTCACTTCTAATTACTTTAATTCAAATATCACTATAATAATGTTATATTTAGTTATTTTGTGTTTTCAAATAGTTGTATTCTACGACTTCATTGCTAACACACACAGATTGATCTCATTGTTCCCTTCGCGGGTACTTTCGTATATATATTTTATCGCATTATTTTATGACATTTGTAATTAATTAAAACATGTTCCGTGATTAGATAAGTGATCCGATATTTTGTGTTAATTAACATATTTAATGTAATTATGTACAGTACCTACCTAGCCAACCTATTCCAATCTGTGTTTTTTCATTCGATTTTCGACTTTACATCAATATAATAAAGTTGGTAACAGAAAGAACTATGTTGACATACTGGCCACTGCACTTAGTCTTGACTAACTTTAGTGAATTATTATATCGATATTGTTCCAGAGGAAAGACTACTCTATCAGCTTGGACTTAGAGGATATAATCCGTCAAGCGTCGTCGCTGAAGCCGACGGACTGCGTGTCGGCTGCCTACAAACTGGAACTGTTGAGGACGCGACTACCTGACTCTATAGTACACGGACAACACAGGTAAGCACTGTAAAATTGTAAATAAATAAAATAAAAAACCGACTTCGAAAACCAAAACCTAAAAACAATTAAAGGTCAAAACTAAAAAGCAATAAATAACTATTATTATTCATACACACTTATAGGTTACCCACCCGGCACCCAGATAGGTGAGAAGTCGGTACCGCAGTTAAACGTAGTTTTTGTTTTTATTTTTATGCTTTTTAGTCAAGGCCATATAGACCCAGTATACTACATATAACCCACATTGGTGCAAAGTTCTCATCATTACAAATTATTCAAGCTCAAATAGCAGGTAAACGGTTAATAGTAGCTACTAATCGTTTAGGAGTTCCCTTAGCTATAGTGCTACTTCATCATCAGACTCCTAATGACAATCACACGCCATACAGGTGCAAAGTTCTCATCAAAACAAATTAATAAAGCCCAAACACAAAGTAGCTACTGTCAGCCGTTGAGGAGTTCCCTTAGCTATCATACTCCTTCATCATCAGGCCCCTGACAGTCATTCTCCATTTAGGTGTAAAGTTCTCATCACTACAAATTTATCAAGCCGAAACACCAGGTAGCTACTGTTAACCGTTGAGGAGTTCCCTTGTCTATCATACTTCATCAGACACAATATGTGAGCGTGATTTCCCTGTCGACGGCGAGCGGTGCCATGATAAAAAGTGGCCGTGGGCATCATATCAAACCATTCCGCAGAACACAACCCATTATACAAGCGGTAGAACAAGCACAAGGAGGCAAAAACTCTCCTTAGACTTAGTGCTCCATACCGCTCGTAAGTATAGGATCGTCAACAAGTCTTACAGCTCTCGTTTGGACCGCGTCAAAAGGTCCAAGCTGGTATGCTGGTGCTCCTGCCCAGAGATGAGAACAGTACTCCATATGGGGGCGAACTTGCGATTTATATAAAAGCAGTCTTTGTGCCGGCGTGAAGTACTGCCTGTTTAGCATACCGAGTTTTTTAGATGCCAGCTTGGCCTTGTCTTCTAAGGAACTAGAAGTCACTAGATATGTCGACACCAAGGAAACCTATACTTTTGGAGATGTGCGGTCCATGGCCCTCTACGGCGCCCCTGTGTGGGCGCCGAACTTGCTGCGGCGGCCCGCTCGGGCGCTGCTCATGGCACAGAGGGTCATGGCGATCCGAATGATCCGCGGATACCGCACGATCTCTGGGGAGGCGACGAACCTCCTTGCCGGGTTACCGCCGTGGGATCTGGAGGCGAAGGTGCTCGCGCGCATGTATCACATGCGCGTGGAGGCACATCGCCGAGG